CTTTCCAGGCCGGCTCTGTGCCGCTGAGCTAAATCCCCAGCCCACTAATTTCTTAATCTGTGAGGAAAGCTGAGTTTTCTTCTCAAAATAGGGACCGTATTTTGTATTGTAAACTACAAGATTTGAGTATATTTTCTTTTAAAGTCACTAAAACCAGTCTTTATTTTATATTGGAAAATTGTTTATTGTGACAAAAATAAAACTGTTGACTGAAAACAAATGTTACACTGTATTGCACCATGACTGCAAAGCACCAAATCCTGTCTACAGGATGAACATTCCAGAGCAAACAGCACTGTTTTACTTGGGTAAGTAGACGTGCAAGCAACTCATTATAACATAACTGCAGAAATAAAAAATCATAAATACCAGCAACCTAAACATAACATACAAAAGCATTTCACTACAGTAATGGAGTATTAAAATTTTTAAACTGTATTTTAAATAAGCCACCATCAGAAGAACATACTTTAAACCATTTGCAAGAAGTGATGTGAACGCACCGAGTAATTTGCTTTCAAAATTTCTTTGTAAAACCAGTCTTTATAATACAGTTTATGTCAGAGGTTGTGCTAGTTCGAAGCTTTCATTAAGAGGAATTTTTATTTCTATGACACACAACAACCTTTCACTAAGTTTAAACAACCAAACTGTCAGAGGTAAGCCAACACTGTAATTCCAATATATAACTTTTTCCAAATTCAGAGAAAGGAATGAAGTGGAACTTTATTTCACCATCCTTCTATCTTAGAAAGTAAGAAAAGGGACCACAAAATATGAAGAGATACAGGGTGACGTCTTCTAGGGGAATTGGAAAGCCTCCCTGCTTCAAGAGAAGAATCAGGTGACTAGTGGGATTGAGCAAGAGGCAAGTGAGGACCCCACATCAAGATAGAGGACTCAATCAGAGCTCATTGCAGAAAACAGCCCTGAAGTGTTCTCAGAAGCCCGGCAGAAAGCAGCTGTCCTGGAAACACAGGCGATACAGATGTGAACTTTGAAAGAACGCTGACATTTATTATTGTTTCTTTTTTTTTTTTTTTTTTTTTGGTACTTTACACAGTGTCTGGTGAGTGAAGGGTACTTAATTAGGCAAAAATTTAAGACCCTTAAAGGCCAGGAATAACAGTAGATTCAAGAAAATTAAAATGTTAAGAGATTTTCATCCTGACATTGAAAAGAAAAAAGTGAGAGTGAAGGAAAATATTATTAATAGTTGTATTTCATTAAGATACCTACAATTCTGTGCTTTCATGTATTTTATTTTTTCAGTTTATATTTACATTATATGTAGCAAAAATTTTAAATGGGTAAGTGCACATAATATGCATGTTTTATGTTCACAGAAAATATATTTATACACAACAAAGTATTAATGACGGCTACTTTGTGGGAAGGTGAAAAATGACACTGTAGGAGATTTGGGGAAAGCTTATTTATATCTGTTGAATTCATGTGGGTTTTTATTAAAAGGCACCCACATTCCCCTTCCTCTAAAAGACACTATACTCATATTTCATGCATGCCTCCTTCCTGTCCAGGTTTCTCCAGGAATTAGCTTCTATCTGAGATAGGACAAGAAATAGAGATTCGTACAAGGCTTTTTCTCAACTGTTTCGGAGCCAGTCTGCTAACCTGAGGCATGCATTTCTTTCTTGTTCTCAGCATCTGTGACACAACTCCTAGCTCCCTGACCCCGCACCTTAATAAGCACAAGAAACCAAAAACCACACAAAGAATCAGGGCTTGTCTTTTTTGTCACTGCTGTGCCTCCAGCATTTCAAACAATGCCTAGCACACACCAAGTACTATATAAAGAAATACTTTTTGAATAAATTAATAACCCTCTGCTTTCTACTATGTGGTAAAGGGCCTGCTCTCTCCAGATAGGCTGCCAGTGACCTCGCTGTGCCCATGACTAAGCCAATCGATCTACCTTAGGAATGAAGTCTAACACATCCACTACATCTGTACTCTTGGTCCATGCACTCCAGTATGGACCTCATGGGTACCAGAGCTGGCATTTGATCTCTACTGCTGGCTACTGAGTCTATCCCTCACTTGGCTCCAAGTTCCAGAGAAGGAAGTTATTATTTATTGATTACTCTCAAACGCTGACATTTTCATCATTAAAATGTCATTTCCATTTTAAATTGGCTTAATTTGTTAGTGAGCTGTGTTTCTTTATAAAATCCATGCTGACGGCTTCACTGTTTCTCCTGCTCATCGGCATGCACCAGTAAATAGCATCTGTCCAATAAGCCAATAACGCGTCTTACAGACGCACCATGGAAAGCGGGGAGGCATGACATCCCTGCAGACCTGGCATTTGTCTCTTGTTATAGTCTGAATATTTGTGTCCTCTTGAAATTTATATGTTGAAATCTGGCCCCCAATATGATAATATTAGGGAGTAAGGCCTTCAAGAGCTGATTAGGTCTAAGGACAGAGCCTTCATCAATAAGATGAATGCCCCTTACGGGCAAGAAGAACAGAAGCTTGCCCCTTAGGACACAGCTAAAAGACAGTGTTTCTGAACTAAGACGTCTAGTATTTTGTTACAGTGGCCTCAACAGATTGAACAGCCTCTTCAGATTCTTAACAGGATATGTCCCTAAAGACCACCTAACATGGGCTCTGACTTTTAACTCCTTTCCCTTCAGAATATCTATGGTACAAAAAAGTCCTTGCTCTAAAAAGGCTGACCTGAGAGAGTACTATGTGCGGCAGAAAGAAACACTGAGCTCTTTGTTTTCACAGAGACAATGGCCGCCCACCACATTTCATAGCATCAGAAATCTCCATGGACACCTTTGTGAGGCCACTTCCCCAATCTTCATGCAGGTCCCATATACCTGCTCATGAGAGACCGAAGAGATGCACAGTTCAGTTCCCTAGGTTTTTCACAAATACCTCCTCAATGAGGGTGCAGAGTCACGGAAATAGCTGTTGGAATCTTCTGCCTAGAAATTAATAACCAGCTACAACTGGTGTCTTGCAGAATTATACCATTAGGCATCCACACATAACCTGCTTATCATTTAGACCACAATGAGCTGAAGGATTATTCATAAATTTAAAAAGAGAAAAAGGACATTTGTATGCGGGAATTATTGGCACTATTTTCCCTTCTACTTATAGCTCTAAAACAACAGGGCCATATGCCACAAACAACATTCCAACCAAAATAACGCAAGAAAGACTACCATTGTTGCAACAAGGAAATGAATATGTTGACATGGGGAAGAAATGATGACCTAATCTCTTTCCTTTCCCTCCTGGCTCAGAACTCTGCTGTTTACTTGCTAGATTCTGTTAGGGAAGATGGACTCACAACATTCCTAAATTTTCAAGTTGAAAAACGCATTTTCCAGCAGTAAAATAATTGGCCCCAAAATCACATTCAAGCACTTTGGAAATGGTGTGGAATTCATTTTAAGTGGGATAAATACTAAATACTAAAACCAATTATGTAAAGGTCCACAATAATTTTTGGTTACATACACTTGAACGTTAAGGGAAACACTACTTCTTAAGTTTTCAGAACCGATAAAAGCAACAGAGCCTGGGTATAAATTACAATCACTTAAAATATATTTTAATAGAGTGATCAGATGCTCACATTGCCCACTAGAGCAGAAGGAGGAAATAGAGCCAGAAAAACGAAAAAAAGACAAAAACAACAGTGACAAAACCAACACCACAGTCACCTAATAAGCTTTTGGACAGAAGATTTCCCTCCATGTACTAATAGAATTTCTTCCTTGATGTAATTTCCTTTAGATGAATAATGTATACTGTACTCCTACTGGTCAGAGGGTATGTCATCAGTCTGTTCTATATATGTCAAAACATCCAGTGCCTTCCGCATATTCCTCTCTAGATATTCAGAGCAGAACAAGTCACAAAACCTGTATTCCATCAGAGATAGGATAATGACAACTAGGCCAAGTTCCAAAGATGAGGGTCCCTAGTATTTTAACTTGCTGCTAATTTATTACGAAGGGAGACTTGTTTTGTTGTTTCTGTTAAGGGACTATCTAAAGTAACATGATAAATGGTTTGATTTCCAACTCAGACAGTGATCTCTAACAGCTAAGAGATAAAACTGTGATGGACAGAAAGGAATCTTGCTGGTTCTGCAACTTACCCATATGACATTGAGAAAGTAAGAACAGAGCATTTACTAAGGCACTGTTCAAAGTGCTTTGCTTAGATTAACACATTTACTCCTCAGAAAGAACCTCTAAACAAGGTCTGGTATGGAAAGAATAAACAACATGCTCAAGATCATGAAGAAGGTAAGATACAGAATTGGGACTAAATGCAGGTAGCCCTGTTACTAAAGTCTGTATTTCTGTATTCTTACCCATGGACACCAAGGGAAAAACCCTTTCTGGGTTATGAATAAATGTAGTGCCAATTAAAATCTGTCCTTGGCAGTGAGGTGGGGAATTTCCCAGTACTTTTAACTTATTCTGCAATGGAAATCCATATTCAAAAAGAGAGCGGGCTAATGGGCAATTCCAGTTCCTCTTCCACACTAAAAATGAGCAAATAATAATGTGCCTTTCTGCTAGAGCCCTCAGTAACTATTTTATTGATCTATGCTTACATCCAACACTTAGGCTACATATAATGATCTGTATAAAACTGGTCCTCAAAAGAAGTCTTGCTAGGGAAATAAATTCCCCTTTTTTCACCATTACTAAGGATTGAACCCAGGACTTATTCCCTGAGCTACATTCTCAGCCATTTCTTTCTTTTTTTTTTTTTTTTATTTTGAGACAGGACTCACTAACTTGTTATATTGCCCAGACTGGGCTCAAACTTGCAATTCTTCTGACTCAGTCTCCTAGAGTGTTGAGATTACAAGTGTATACCATCACACCTGGCTAGAAATACTTATTTCTTATTGTTGCTCTATCAAATTATCACAAACTTAATGGTTTCAAACAACACCAACCTGGGGAAGAATCCATTTTCTTAGCTTTTCCAGCTTCTTTCTGGAAGCCTCTGGTATTTCGTGGTTAACCTATACAAAATAGAAAGTAAGATGCAACCATGATAATAACACATAAGAGGTATTAAACATTTACTATGTGGCATGTGACAGATATTTTGTGAAGTGCTTTACTTACCTTTAATTATTTCCTTGGTAAAAAAACAAGGTTTGAGAAAATGATGCAAATTATCAAAAGTTATATAAATAGAAAGTGGCAAAACCAGGTCTGACTTATTTCGGAAATTATACTCTACCAGTATATTACATGTGGAGTCTAAATGCATGCACATTTAACTATTCAAAACTTTTCTCCATCACCTTTTTCTTTTACGCTTTTACCCTGAACACTTTATCTTGCACAATTTAATTTGTGTTTATTAAACAAAGACAAGTGTCCTATTGTAAGATCCAATAGCTTTTTGCTAACCTCTTTGCCTTTTTTGGTGTGCATTTAGCTCCAGTCAAAATGTTTAACATACTTTGACCATTTTGGAATACTGAAAACGAACTCAAATAAGCACCTTGATCAATGTTTGACTGACTGTTCCAGAATGAAATAAAGATGTAGAGGTTCCGAGAGGAAGAAAATGGAATACAGGTGGAACAGTCAGAAGAAACGAGGTCAGGCCTCAGTCTCAAAGAGACATTTCAAATGGGTCAGAGAGGAAATAATAAGAATGGTACTGAGGAATGTAACAATACAGGTAGGAATCAAATATAAGAAGCTTACTGGGCAGAATTGGAAATGGAGATTAAAAAAGAATAAATAAAGCAGCAAAGCAAAGGATTTGAAATACAGATAACTAGGTGTCAATTTAACCAGGCAGGAAAATCCAGGTCTACAGTTTCTGGGAAGGGGTATTTAGGCTTGAAGGGGTTAATTATCACTAGAACAAAAATCAAGAAGAAAGGAAAAGGAAAGGTTAGAACCTGGCAATAGCAGTCACCTTCCAGGAGGGAAATTGGGAGACTGGGACACATGAGAAGGTTGGGGGCGACCTTTCACTACATGCCCTTTTGAGGCCTCTAATCTTTATACAGTGCACATATATGAGCTAGAAGTGTATGGGTAGGTATAAGGCTGTCTTTACTGACCCTAAGTGCCAGAGGGTAAAATTAGACATTGCTCTTTTTATACTTAAGAGCTCAGGATAAAACATAGTTCTGTCACATTCTACACACACACACACGCACACGCACACACACACATGACCTACCTGTAAAACTACTTCACGTATGTCTTCATGGTATAAAAACTTGCTCCTTCAGCTTCTTTCTACATAAGTCATTCTAAGCACAAACTTCAGGCTGGGCCGGTGCACAGACATTTATAGTACTTTTTTACAGCTGCCCAATATGGATGAGAATCTACTGCATTTATTCTCCGAAAGCTCACACAAAATTTAGTGAAACCACAAGGACCACGGTCAGTGACACAATCAAAAGGCAAATACAACCTAATGCAACCCAGCTGGTGCCCTGACTCAGGCAATGCCTGCCAGCTAGGCTCAGCCCCACCCTCCCAGGCTCCCACTCCATCACCAGCAGATTGGCATCAATATTTATCTTGTCAAATGCATGTGAAACTCAAAGGAATTTTTATCACGTAGATCAACAAGGGGTTTTTTTTGTTTTGTTTTTAAGAGATAACTAGTAAAATAGCTTAATTATTGTTCTTGTGGGAAAATGTTGAGCCTTTGCACCTTCTGGATACTTATTTTCCTGTTCTTTCACCATATTTGTCATATTGGAAACCTCAACAGTCAAAGCAAGTGGCCCAGAAAGCCAAGGTAACCAGCCTCTTGCATGAATGTGATGAGTGCTGACCCAGGCAAAGGAAGGGCTTTCGAGTTCTCTGAGTGTTTTGAGATTTATGGAAAGAATTACATAAGAAAACAATTCCTTAATCAGGTTGTGGTTTACATGCATTCAGAGTTTGCTTTAAACTCTTGCTAAAAGATTAGCTATTGTACATGAGATTATATAAACAAATGCAAGTTGTAACAGGCATAGGAGAGATAATAAGCAAAACCAAACTGACACAACTAGATCCCGGAAGCCAGTTTGATTAAACTTTGCATATTCTGCCAACTTCCATTTGTTAGAACTCATGCTACATTGAATGCAAGTATTATATCCAATTACCTGATCTACTTGTCATATGTTACTAAGTAGAGAAATATTTATTGAACTTCCCATAGATGAGTAATTTTAGAAACTACATTAATAGGGAAACATCCAAGGGCGAAATAATTGTTAAGCTTATTAAAACTGTTCACTCTTGGGGCTCGTAGAAGGCAGGATGCTTGGGTATTGTCTTATACATTCCCGGCACGGTGTTCACCATCAAAACAGCACCGACTAAAATGAAGGAAACTTTGGAGCAGGGCCAGGATCCAAACCTAAAATTAATTCATGTGTCATAACTGCTGAAGTATTTGCATTTGTGTTATCTCCTTCACTTATTTCTTAATTCTTATAAAGGACAAAAGCAAGTTTCAGCAAGGATAGGCAATATAGATATCAAAACAGAGACCAACCTGAAAGCAAGCATGATACTCAACACATTTTTATGTGTTAGTAAGTGCAAGCATACATGCAAATTTTTAGAGCATTTTCCCATCTACCTACAAATTATAGATTGGAACTTACAAATTTGTGGTACGGGACTCTTAATATGCTTTACTGCCCCAAGGGCAGGAGGCAATTCACTATGACAATTCACCATGCCTATTAAGACACAGGCCCACAACTGGCCCTGAGTAATATGCTTGTCTTTTTTTTTTTTTTTTTTGGTTTTTCTCTGGTACCGGGAACTGAACTCAAGACCTTGCGCTTGCCAGGCAGGCGCTTTGCCGCTGAGCTAAATCCCCAGCTCCTAATATGCTTGTCATTCTTGATCTTTGTGGCTCTCCTTAAAATGTACCATACCGGCTCTGGAACATCTTCTAGTCTGTAATACTAAAGACTTGTCCGCTCCTTTAAATTGCTGCTTTAGGGCACTTTCCTTAAGTTTGCTCCAATCATTTATAGGCTATAAAATACTACCAGTTGAATTTCTTTTTCACTACTTTCTAGTGACCTTGTCACTTTAGCATGAATGTTATTGAATCTTTTCACCATAATGCTGTTATGTATTTATATGCATGTGTACACTCTTCTGTGTCTCCAATGTGAGGTGTTTAATACCTGAGATATCTCAGCTGTTTAATTCAGATATATGCACCATTGGGATACTCACTAAAAAAATAAATAAATAAATAACACAATTATTCTGAGTTCACCATCTGACACAAAGAAAATAGAAAGCTTCAAATTTAGGACATTTGGCTTTTAGGTTTACATGCATAGGTCCTAGTCTTTTTGTAACTCAAGGATGCTATGCCATGAACTAAGTTAACAAGAACTCTCTGGTGTAACAAACCTAAATTAGACTACTTGGCTTACTTCTAGCTTTATCACTCACTACTTGTATTATTGAGACTTGATAGGGAAACACTCAATACCATCCCTTCCTCCATTCTGGATATTTCCTTCTAGCAGAAGAGTTTTATTGAAGTAATTCTTTGTCACATTGACCCCACCCCCAGCCACAGTACTCCTTCCTAGAAGAAGAGTATCTTTCCTGATTTATGAGTTTAGAAACATGGTAGTTCATCCCCTCTATACTTGGAATCTTCCTGCCCTCAGAAAAAGTACATTTTGCCCTGTTTCCATATACAATAAGCTTGTCAGGGGCAGGCCTCCACAGGGGCAGGCCTCCACGGGGGCAGGCCTCCACAGGACAGGCCTGAGTTTGCCCTTCTGATAGTTAGGTTCATACAGGATTAATGAGTCTACTTGCTCAATACATCTATGTCATGTTCTCCAGACTTCAGCAATAAAGTTAACGTTTTGGTCTCCATCCATAATACTCTTTTGCTTACTTCTCCATTGGTTCTAAATAACATTAGAAGAGTAGGAACTATTAGCCAATGATATCACACTAGAGTTAACATTAACTACAAGATTGGTCTAAAATTTGGTACAGTATAAAAATGCCTTTTATACATAAAAAATTCAACTTCAGTTTTATCATTTCTTTCATCCATGTATTTCATAGTAAGTTTTTAAAATGTATTTACTCATTGAAGCAGATGACTGAGATTTGACTAAATCTACCAAAAAATCTACCAAAGAATCAAAAAAAAAAATTAATTATACATAACATCATTCCTAATAGCAAACTGTTACTAATGAGGCACATTAACACTTTTAAGATTCCTGACTGTACTTCTTTAAAAGATATTCTTTCCAAGCATTCTGGTAACCTGAAGCAGGAGGCTTGCAAGATCAACCACAGTCCAGGCAATTTAATGAAATCCTGTCTCAAAAGTATTTTAAAAGTAGGGGGCTGGTGACATAGCTCAGTGTAAAGGACCTGGACCCTAGTACAGTGTGTGTTGGGGGGATGAGGTATTGTATCATTGCTGAATTAATCAGATTTCTTGTTGCATAACACAATACTTGATACAATTAAAGGATAAGAAGTTAATGTGCCTCACAGTTTTGTGGGACTCAGTCCATGGTTGGCTGGCTCAAAGGCAAAAACATCAAGAAAGAGGTGATGGCAGAGCAGAGATATTTCCTTTATGGTCACTGGAAAGAGAACAGGAGAACAGTGCCAGGGAAGAAGGGTAGGAGGCAGATACAATACCCAAAGCCATGCTCCCCAAATCTAGGCAGACACACCCAGAAATGTTCTCCACCAAAAATATTTCCTTAAACTAGGGGTCACCACCCCCAGGCCACAGATTCATACCAATCCATGACTTGCTAGGTTGTAGGCCACACAGCAGGAAACGAGTAGTGAGAAAGCAAAGAAAACTTTATCTGTGCTTATAGCCACTCTCCATGCTCATATTACCACCTGAGCAACACCTCTTGTCAGAAAAATGTTATTGGTATTTTTACTGAGATTGCATTAAATCTGTATAACAGCCTTGGAAGTATGGGCATTTTCATTATATTTGTTCTGTCTATCCAGGAACAGGGGATGTCTTTCCATTTTCTGATATCCTCTTAGCTCTCCTTTTTCAGAGTACTATAGTTTTCAATGTAGAGATATTTCGTTTACTTGGTTAGGTTACTTGGTTAGGTTAATCCCTATGGATTTCATTTTTTCTTGATGCTACTTTGAAAGGCATTGTTTCCCTATTTTCTCCCTATTATTGGTGTACAAAAATGCTATAGATTTTTGAGTGTTTATTTTGTATCCTGCTGTGCTACCAAATTTGGTTATTAATTGTAGGAGTTTTTGGTTGAGTTTTGGGGGTTTTCTAGGTAGAAGATCATGTTATCAATAAATAATTATAATTTAACTTCTTCCTTTCCTACCCATATTCTTTTTATTTCTTTCTCTTATCTAATTGCTCTGCCTAATATTTCCAGAACTATTTTGAATAGGAGTCATGACAGTGGCATCCTTGTCTTATTCCTGGTACCAGAGTAAAAAATTTCAGTTTTTAACCATTTACCATGATGCTGGCTGCTGGTTTGTCATAAATAGCTTTATCAGATTGAGATAAAGAGCTTCTATTCCTATTTTCTGCAGGGTTTTTATCATGAATGGGTGTTGGACTTTGTCAAATGCTTTTTCTGCATCTACTGAGATGATCTGATCATGTGGTTTTTGTCCTTGCTTCTGTTAACGTAGTGTATTACATGTATTTATTTGCATATATCAAACCATCCCTCCATTCCTGGGCTGAATCTTACTTGGTTATGGTATATAATCCTTTTGATGACTTGCTAAATTCTATTTACCAATATCTTATTGAGAATTTTTGCATCCATGTTCATTAAAGAGATTGGCCTATAGCTCTTTTTTTTTTTTTTTTTTTGTTGGTTCCTTTTCTGGTTTTGAATCAGTGTAATGCTGACTTTCAGGAATGACTTTGGAAGTATTACTTCCCTTTCAACTTTATTAAACATTTTGAGGAATATTGGCACTAGATCTTCTGTAAGGCTTAGTAGAATTCAACGGTGACTCTGTTGGAACCTGAGCTTCCCTTAATTTGTAAATATTTTTTTAAAATTACTTCTTCAATTTCACTGACTGATATTGGATTATTCAGAATTTTTATATCATCTTGGTTCAGTTTTCATAGTTCACATGTATCCAGGAATTTATCCATTTCTTCTGAATTTCCCACTTTATTAGAGCACAGGTTCTCAAAGCAGCTACTGATAATCTTCTGGGTTTCAGCAGAATCCACTGTGATTTCACCATTTCTAAATGCATGGATTTGGATCTTTTCTTTCCTTATTAAGATTGGCTAAGAGTTTGTCTATTTTATTTACTTTTTCAAAGAACTAACTCTTTAACTCATTAATTCTTTGTTGTTTATTGCCTCAATTTCATTAGTTTCTGCTCTGATCTTTA